TTTATCAAAGTCTACTTGATCAAAAACAGATGCACGAACACAAACCAGAGGGAAAATGTGACGCTTGTGCATCAGAGTAAGAAATATGTTTGGTTAATGTCTGATTAGGATTAGGGTCAAGTCACTCGGAGTAATGTAAAACATCAAATGCACACAGACCCAGTGTAAAAACCAAGCGCTACTGCCTGATTTCTGTCGTAACGTTTTTGTAAACTTTAGATGTGCCAATCACCATCAAACAGTCCATGAAATCTAAGATCATTTACCCAAACAGCATCTACAGTGTAACTTAGTGAAGTTCTGGTGATAATACCTTGGCTAGGACGTCCATTCTCTGTAGCATCCTCTTCATCTGTTTCTCCTCTTCATCAGTGAATTTGCTCAACAGAGGCTCCAGGTGACCACTCTTTGGAAATACACAGATTTCGTATGAGCGGAGTAGTGTTTGTGTGCTTTGACACATTTTTTTGTTTGTGTGCGTGTGTGTGTTACCTCCATGTTAGGAACCACAAGCAGGTTAGAGATTTTGGTTCGGTCATTGATGAGACTGTTCCAGTCCAACAGATCAATGGTTCTACAAGAACAAAAAAGAAACATGGTCAAACACACAAGCACACACACTTGTGTGTAGTTTAGGGACCGGGGAAATCAGTTTAAGTGACAGATGAAGAATTTTACCCTGATGAACCCAATTTCTCTCCAGTAAACCAGTTTTCAACGTCTGATTTAGCACCTACTCCCAGTTTGATCAAACTGTCCTGCAGATAAACACAATAATAAAAAAGACAAAGACAGATAAATGTAAATGTGTATATTTTAAAATAAATATACAGTTTAAAAGTTTGAGGTAAAAAAAAAATTCAACTTGCGAAAAGCTACGGACGGTTCCTATCCGACAATGTAAATACATGTTCCCATGCAAGCTTATTTCTAATAAGCATAAAATACATCTCTTTAGCCGGTTAACTTTTGCTGCCAGGATAAACTTACTTATGTCATGGATCAGCGATAAATCCCCCTCTATGAAGGGATGGCATTCAATCATTAGAGAAACTATCCCTCTGGAACTTTTATTCGCACTTGGACACCATATTAGGACAGCATTAATGCCTCTATTAGTGATATTCTAAGTTTTGGTATGGTATAGTAGTTGTGTCGGGCTACTTGTGTAGTTTTGTTTTGTGTTTGTTAAACAAAAAGCAAAAAAAAAAAATTTAAATAGTCACAGTATAATAGCATTGCAATGTTGTCTTTAAATTTGCAAAAGCAAACTAATTATTGACCACACTAAATTAGTTTAACATTCCAAAAGCCTGTCAATAATCTACTTTTCATTCGCATTACAAACTGCACAGTTATAAACTATTATAGACTTAGAGTGCAAAACCCAAACCTGCAGTTGCTGAAGTTCTAGCTTCTGCTCGAGTATTGCCATGCCGTCTTTCCCCTGATGGGAGGCCAACAGGTTGAAGAACCTCCTCCACTTCACCAGCACCTCCGAGAACTGAAGCTTTAAGACAGAACCAATCAAGATCAATCACACAGATATCAGCTTATTTGTAAGAAATTTGAAAGAGTTAAAAAAAAAAAAAAGAGAATTACCAGGAACTGCGGCCGGCCCAGTGCGGTCATCTTAATGGCCGAGAATCCATCGACAGAGCTTCCAGCTAAAATACACAGACATCAACACAAATACCTCAATGAACAGCCTGATATCAAAGTGCCCCATTGTACTATTTTAAAGATTCCTAATTTTGGCTCCTACAAAAGGTTTACATGCATCTAAGGTAAAAAAAAATAAATAAATAAAAAAACACTTCAATTTTCATATTTTTCACAGTGTCTGAAACAGTTGGATAAAGGATTCAGTCTTCCTGAGAGCCTACTCTGCCCTGATTAGTCAGACGACCCAGTCTGTTGTGATTGGTCAACTCTGCCCTGATTGGTCAGATGGTCCAGTACTCTGCTCTGATTGGTCAGATCACCCAGTGTGTTGTGATTGGTCTACTCTGCTCTGATTGGTCAGATGGTCCAGTCTGTTGTGATTGGTCTACTCTGCTCTAATTGGTCACATGGTCCAGTCTGTTGTGATTGGTCAGATCACCCAGTCTGTTGTGATTGGTCTACTCTGCTCTGATTGGTCAGATGGTCTAGTCTGTTGTGATTGTTCTACTCTGCCCTGATTGGTCAGATGATCCAGTAGGTTGATTGGTCTACCACTTACAGTGCAGTGTGTCTCTGAAAAGAAATGGTTATTAACATTATAATTTATCTGGATAATCCGCTTAATCTGGATTTCAGCGTCAAATTTACTGTATGAATTCAAGCCTTTGTCCTTTTACGAAGTGTATTTGCTCTGGCAGTGCAGAACACACAACATCTTTTCAACATGTCGACAAGACAAACCTAACTCTTTCAGGCTTCATCAGCAACAACTACAATGGTTTAAGAGTCAAAGTAAACTGGAATTATGCAGATTTGTTACAGGAAGTAAGACTGGAATTACTGACAATTCGCTTTAGGTCACTCAGAAACTTTGCAGACCTTTTATATTTATTTACAAACAGCTAAATTACACACAACATGAAAGATCATATCCAAAATTCAGAATACCGGAAAGCAAAATAGGGGCACAGAAGACAAAGTAATATTCCTCTCACCAGAAGCTTTAATGCAGTTGATGAATGTCTCCATGTGATGGTCACACTTGGCTTCATCTGCGTAGAAATACGTACGAGCGCTGATCACTCCTCCACGCCGATCTCCAAACTGCCGATGGGCTTTGTACTTTTTCTCACGATGATCCATACCTGAATATGGATTTCAAAAATCAGTCAATTTTTGAGATGCTGGTTTGCAAACATCCCTTTTTAAACCATAACTTTGCCTAAGTGCTGCATTATGTTGCAAAAAGCTGTCAGAAAATCATTATGATGCTGAAAAGTTTCCTCACAGAATGCGCACAATGAAAATTACTTTTTTATTTTTTGTGTACATAATTTAAACATATAATAGAAACAGTTTTGATGTTGTGTTGAAATTACTAGGAATGTCATAAACATTAAAATAAATATTATTCATTAATGCTGGACAGCTTTATGCAGCATGATGGCTGTGGCCGAAACCTTGCATTGAATAATGTTTTTTAATACCTTACAGAGGAAAGGTTTTCATCTGAGATACCGAATACCCCACAGACTTAAAAAACATGAGCTTGCAAAGATAATTTCAGCCCCTTCACCAGGAGAGCCCACAGTTAAACCAGCTTTAACCAGTCTAAACGAGTCAAACAGCTAGAGCCCATAACACATACAGCAGTCTATTTCTAACACCGCATGATCCCTGAGGCGAAGTGTTGATCGCCTGTCACACTGTTAACGTTTCGTAAAAACCTAGCCAGATGAAACCCAACAAACTGCCAACACCCTTCCAGCATCAACACTAAAGCCCTGAAACAAAATGGAAATCACTGTACACTCATGGTCCTCCTGAGGCAAGCTTGCACAGCTGTTCACTGAAAATACAACAAAACAATTGGTTACTAAATCTGCAATAAGCCCTTGTTTTTGAAGTGTACTAGAATATGTTTTCATGCTTGATAGTTCAAAAAGCACTTTATTTTTCACATATTTTACATTATTACAGCACCTCTCTCCCCAATCTGGCTCAAACACGCCAATTTCAATGAAGCCCCTCCTTCCAAAATAAGAAAAATGTGCTGTGATTGGTTAGCTGGCCCAGTGTGTCGTGATTGGCCTCGGGAAATGTCCCGCCCCTCCATAACTGCGAGTTCTTCTCTAGTGTGTATATGAATAAGGATGGCGTCAATTTCAAACCAATTCGAGCCTGATTCAGACCCTGACAATGTTACCGAACAAGAGGACAGTGCAGAACGGATTTCATGCACAGGCTTTGCAAGCACGAATTTCACAGGACGTTAAAAACAAAGTGGTGTGTTTTTTGTAATTTTGGCTTACCGTCCATATAAACATTGGGGTTATAATTTCAGAAACAGTGTTTAAAGTAACTTTAACCACTTTAAGTTCGTAAGGGTCAAACAAATGAGTTTTGGAAATGTTGTGGAAAAGACATAGCGACAGAACTTTCCTCTCTAATGCAGCTCATCCAGGTCTCGTCCCCATTTTTTGCTTATTCCGTAGGCGGAGATTATTCATACGAGTACCATTGTGACTTCATAAGAAGTGTTGTAGTCCAAACGAGCCATTCGTTGTAGTTCTTGAAAAGTGGATTATTTTAAATAAACTGCCAGATCTTTTTAATGCTCAAACAGCATCATTACACACTAACTAAAGTTGAAAAAAGTGGAAAAGTAAAAATTAGTGCCGTCAAACGATTACAATATTTAATTGCGATTAATCGCATTAATGTCATAGTTAATTCGCGATTAATCACATATTTTTATCTATTCTAAATGTCTCTTGATTTCTTTTTGTCCCGTTATTTGTTCTCATTTTAATGCTCTTATCAACATGGAAAAGTGGATCAGCTTGATTTGTGCAAATGTTTTTAATTGAAAACAACATTGCCATATCCACAAGTTTCCTACGCCCCATGAGGCCTTGCGTCAAAAGTGGGCGCGACTTCCTGTTGGAAGTAAACAAAGCGCGATTTGACATGCTTGACACTCGTTCATTCAACAGTTGACAGTCATTCAAGTTATAGCGATCCAAACTAGCTAACGATGTGGGAACACAACCTCAACGAAATTAAAAAGGGTGAAATAACAGTACCTTTAACCTCCGCAGTCGTTGATTGGGAGTATTATAATAACATTATTAATTATCAATACTCATCAAGGCATGGTGACAGACAGATGTGCGAGCTGACAAACAATTCAAATAAAAAAATACACACTTAGTCATTGTGCTTTGGAGTTTATTCAAAATTATAAATGAATGTGCTTCTTGAATACATTAACTGGCACATTTGGTATTCTGTCAACACAGGCTTTGATCCTGAGTTTAGGTGTAACATCAGTAGCGAACAGCCAATCACATGCTGATAGAGTTTATAAAATATAAAGAATTAAAAAAAAAAATGTACACAGGAAGATTCGTCGTCTTTTGGGAGGTGATGGAAACTAACGTTACAGTCGTTGGCAGGATCAGAGACGGGCTCTGGAAGGATCACTCGTTTTCAGCTTATGTTCAAAACAATCACGTTTAAGCCACTGAATTAGTTTAGTCCGGTTATACATACAACCGCGAACAGCACATATTGTCCCTGAGCTCCGTAACGACATCTCTCATAAAGATTTGCGTCTTTAAATAGTAAAATAATTCTCCGAAAAACAGCTAGCATCTTCGCTAACTAACACACAAAATACCATTGGAATGCTACTTCCGCCGCGTCACCGGAAGTTTCACCCACTTTATTTTTTACAGGAGAGCCCCTCGGAAACTTGTGGATACTGTGTTCAAATTCACAATAAAAAATTCTTACTTGGAGCAAATAATCTCTCACACAATGTAACACTGTCCATCAATAAAATGGTGAAAGAAATACTGACGAGGTCCTGATATTCACGAGGGGGCGGAGAATTCGCATCATCTGTGTGTGTGTGTGTGTGTGTGTGTGTGCTTGGCCATCATCCAGCGGTATTTCAGACTGGACGTGCTGCGATGATGATAGCTCAATTCACAACATCAAAACACACAGATACTTTGATCTTGTCAATGGAACCATTTTGCAACTTTTTAAAAGTAAACTTTACATTCAGAATCTTATTGGCATCCATTTCGGCGTCTCGCGCTCGTCATCCACTCAAAACGTAACATTAACCAACTATTTGGCCGACTCGCAAGCCCAACGAGTGTGTGTGGCGTGCCTGTTGTTTTGTTTCGACGAAGCAACAAAACGTCCTCCCGCAGCGCAAGCCATTGAAATGAATGGGTTTCATAGAGCAGTGCCGCGCATGCGTGTCCTGTTGCAAAAGCATGTGAAAGAAAACTACACAGTTTTCTAGGCCAAAAAGACCGTTAATCGCGCGATAAAAAAATTGACGCGTTAAAATGGGTTTGCGTTTTTTACCCATTTTTGCGTTTAACTGACAGCCCTAGTAAAAATTAAATAAAATTTAAAAAGACAAAGTAAAATAAAACAACAGCACAACACTAAATAAAAACAAGATGAAATGAAAAAACATGACAAAATAAAAAACAATATATGTATAATCCTATTAGGATGCTTAAACGGTTTTATTATATTTACCTGAACCGACTCAGTTATGGAATTTTACATTTATCATCATGATAGCATATGCCAGGTTTATTTAAAAATAGAGCAAAAAACAATTTATATTTTTATGTTCTCATTTAGTTCAAATATTTGAAATGCAGTCAATTTATTGTACTTACCATGACTCTCTTTCTCAGCCTCAGAAACACAGGAACTGAAAAACAATGCAAAAAACATGTGTAAGTGCAAAGTTGTGTTTCATGAACGTTAGTTGAGGTTTCTGCAAAAAGGTCACCTTTGTTTAAGCCAGGACATTAAACATTCAAACTCCAGTCAGCTCTATTGGAAGAGTTGATAAATTCACTTTATTTATGGAGTGGGACCATTAAATTTCACAGAAAACTCTGGCAGTGACACAAACGCCTTATTCACAAACGCTGGTCCACTTCACATTTCAGTCACATGCTTCATACTCTTTGCAACACAAGTCTCGGTCAACACAGAGTTAAATCAATAAAGAATCCATTTCAGATATATTTAGAAATTTTAAAACAACAATTTAGCTCTCAGGCTGTGAGGGAAATTAAAACAATCCAACGCAAATTGGCAAAATGCAAATAACTGAAACTGGCATCTCTAATGTGAAAGCTCAGTTGAGGCATGTGAATGAGAAATATGACAGGTATTCGACCTGACCTTCTGTACAAACAGGACAACTGCAACATGTGCTCAGATAAACGCTGCTACTAATGCACACTGATTCTACTGATTATTTTAATGCTGGAAATACTGCTTGGAAAGAAATGGAGATGGTGTATTTTTAATACAAAGGCAAATTTTTCAAGCAGGTGTAATATTGTCGTTAACTAAAATATTAAAATCTGTTAATTAAAATAAAGCTGAAATGTTGCCCTGGCAAATAAAAAACTAAATCAGGAATAAAAAAAAAGAAATTCAACCTAAATAGGAAAATAAATAAATAAATAAATTTTTTAAAAAAATCAAGCAAACAATGAACATTAAAAACAAAAATATAATAAAACTGAAATAAAAACCTATATTAAGGTTATTATTAACTAAAATTTACATTTTAGTAACATTTTCTAATGTTCTAATTTACATTTTAGAACATTTTCATTACTTTAAATAAATTAAATGTTATCTGAAATAAAATATAATATAAACAAACTAACTGACAAGGAAACATTTCTCGTCTACATTTAGTTAAATTTACTTGAACTAGAAAATTTTACAGAAATAAAATATTGTTAAATAAAATTTTAGACACATATTTACATAGCAGCAGAATATATGAAAATAAATATATATATATATATATATATTCATATTTTATATACATAAATATGTATATATATTTTTTTTTTGTATATATATATATATATATATATATATATATAAATATTAATATATATATATATATATATACACACACATACATATACATATATATATATATATATATATATATATATATATATATATATACACACACACACACAAACACATCAAATAAAATCTCATGATGGTCATGTCAAATACCATTTCAATAAATCACATGATTTATGGAATCATTCATGTCTGAAATGCAGTAAAGCATACTCGTAACTCAAGCATGAGTAAGCATAATTTGCGATACTTCAGGTAAATCCTATTCACATGTTAGTCACATGAACAATAGGAGCTCAGTGCTCCTAAAAATCAGTTTTAAAACATTTCAGCATGAGTTTCATGTTAAGCTGATTCCTGAAAGCTTTTGTATCTGTTCTGAACCTTTTGTGTGCACTCATGCTAAATGAATTAAACCGGTTTCGTCTTACCCAAAACATCTTACATAACCTATGCAGTGTGTGTGTGTGGTTGTTAGTCTTTTTTTCACCGAACGAAATCTGAGCACTTTCCCAGGGACTGGGCTAAAACAAGCCTCCCTTTTGTGTTACTATAAGCCTTAACTGAGTTAAATAAATATATAATAAAGTCCTGAATAAAGCATTAACCAATGTCAAGTATTAAATGTCAAATGATCGTGACTCTAAGTTTCTCAATGTGCTGGCCTGGGTTTCCTTGCTCAAACTCATGTGACTGCATTCCACAAGAGGAGGAGGAAAAACACCTCCCTTTATCAGCCAATCAGGCGGTGGGCCCTGGCTATTACTGACCAATGGGGAACAGTGTAATCAGAGACCATTACTGCAGTCAGAAGGGTGGCATGGTGTCAAAACAGTCTCATGTGATGCCTGTACATGATTACACAACTTATATTCAATAAACTGCTGATTTTTTGATCACTCCATCTGCTGTTTTCTGCTCTTGTCAAACTCTCCAGCTGACAGAAGACTGTTAAAGCAGTTTTGGGTATAAGGCTTTACTGGTTTTGGACCAAGATAGATGGATATCTTCTGACATGATCTGGCATCCGGGTTTCAATCAGATATTTCTGATGTGGACTTAAGAGACTCGATCTGATCAAACAGTAGGATAAAGGAAAGGAAAATTAACTCTTGTGTTGATACTCACTCCATCTCCTTCTTCTCAGCCTCTTCTTGGGTCAGGTCCTCCTCTACGCTGTAGTCCAGAACCGAGCCCACGCCAAACGCCTGGTTCTTCTTAATCAGAGGTTTAATGGAGTTCTGGTCCTCACCCGCAACGAACTGACCGTAGAAGGTCATTTTCATTAGTTTCTCGAAGACCCGCTGGCCAAAAACCTTTTTACTGAGGTCCATCAGCTGCGGATTGAAAAAAAAGTGAGGAATTTAATATATAAATAAGTCAAGTAGCCTACATTAGTTTCTAATATAATTAAATAAAAGTGAGAAACATTATTAAAAATACATACTTATTAAATATTAATGTTATACACACACACACGTATATGTAAAATAAATAATTTTGAAGTGTTTTGAATTGTTTGAAATATGATTGAAAAGGAAAATAGTACATTTGAGAGCAACATGTGCAGCGCAACTCTGTCAAATAAGCTAACTTTACATACAATTATTTTGAGAATATCATTATAATTTTCATAATAAAGTATATTATATTGTATTATTTCACTATAAAGTATATTATATTCATTATAATTTTCACTATCATTATAAAGCATTCACTGCAGCTATTTTTTTTTTTTTTTTTTTTTCAAAAATCAAAAGTAAAATCAAATGTAACTCGCCTCTTTATTTTTGTCGACCAGGAAGTCAAAGGTGCAGAGTTTGAACACCAGCAGGCTTCTGAGCAGCTCCAGTGTGTCTTTGCTCTTATAGGCTTCTTGTGTGTTGTCGAAGTCCACGAAGATCTTCTGGCTGTCCGCGTGCGCTTTCCCGCTGATGAGGTCCACATCGCAGGGCTTCTCCACGACAGTACAGCTCGGGTCCAGCCTGTCTTCCGTCTTCAGCTCTTTGTGCTGCGTGGATGCTACCGTGGACCGAAGCCTCGAGCCCAACAACTGACCCGGCTTTACTCTGCCCAATGCGGGGATAACTTTACAATAAGACATGCTTGATGAAAGTAGGTATGGTCGTGGGAATATTGCAGTGGTCCTCCTTGTACCGATGGAGTTTTCTAGTGAATGACGCCGGAACACCCTCGTGGGGGAGGGTCATTAAAGCGCGCTCTGGAAATATGCAAAGTGTTTTCAGCGCGTTCTGAGTGGCGATTGGCTTGTGATCTGTGACGACGAGATTTGCTCGCTACGTCAGTTCATATCACAAAAAAAAAAGAAAGTCAGTTCATATCATGATTCCCGATGACGGTTTTTTCTTTTTTCTTGATTTCTATAAAGCTTTTGATTCCGTTGAGTTTCCTTTTATTCTTAAATCTTTAAGTATTTTTGGTTTTGGTCCCAACTTTATAAATGCAATTCAAACTTTGTACAATAACGCCAATGCTTCAATTAAATTACAGCATGGTACTACACATAGATTTGATATAGAAAGAGGCATCCGTCAAGGCTGCCCAATATCGCCTTATCTTTTTCTGCTTCCTATGCAGTTATTAGCCATTCACATACAAAACAGTAATTTGAAAGGGATCTCTGTTGCAAACCGATCAATATTAATAAGTCAATTGGCTGATGACACAACTTTGTTTTTGAAAAATAAAGATCAAGTTTCTGTAGCTTTGAATATAATTGATCTCTTTTCATCTGCTTCTGGTTTAGTTCTTAATATTCACAAATGTGAACTTTTACCTAGGCCTATTAAACATTCCAATGATAATAAAGTTTGTGATATTCCAGTCAAATCAGAAGTTAAATACTTGGGGATAATTATATGTAAAGATCAGATAAAAAGATCAAAACTGAACTTTGAACCTCTTATTCAGTCTATTCAACGCAAATTAAATTCTTGGTTACAACGTGATCTGTCTATAACAGGTAGAGTCCTGCTTTCCAAAGCAGATGGGTTATCTCGGGTTATCTATCCTGCAATGGCTTTGGATGTTTCTGTGGAGATTTGTAGAATGCTGGACAAAATGATAGTAAACTTTGTTTGGAAATCTAAAGCTCATTTAATTAAAAAGAGTGTTATGATAGCTGATCGGACAGTGGGTGGGTTTGACCTATTGGACTTTTCCACTCTTAATAATTCTTTCAAGGTTAAATGGATAAAATCTTTTTTGAACAACCCTACATCTTTTTGGAATATTATCCCTAATTATATTTTCAGCTCAGTTGGGGGTTTGCATTTTCTGTTGCGCTGCAACTATAGACATCTCTAAAATACCTTTAACTCTTTCTAGTTTTCATAAACAGGCTTTAATATGCTGGTCCCTAATATATAATTATAGTTTTTCTCCACATAGCTATTTTATTTGGAATAATCAAAATATCAAATATAAAAATAAATCTCTTTTCTTTAATTGGTTCGATAAAAACATACTTTTAGTGAGTCAACTTTTGGATGATATGGGTGTTTTGCTCTCTTATGAACATTTTATGCAAAAATTCTCTTTTTCAGTCCCCCCAAGAGAATATGCCATTGTTTTTGGTGCAATTCCCGATTGTTTGAAACCTTTGGTCAATTCTGGCCTTAAGGGACCTTTAACTTCTCCACCTATTTTTGACAACGCTCATCTTTTTGTTGACCAATGTCTGTTCAGTAGATTGTCAAATAAGAAAATTCACTCAATTCTTAACAGAAATCTAATTTCTTTACCTGCCTGTGTACGTTTTTGGAATAATAAATTTGATGATATAGAGTGGGAGGCTTTCTGGCTCCTTCGGCAAAAAATTTTCTTATCCAATAAAGTGTTTGAAGTTTCAATCAAAATTATTCACAATTGCTACCCAGTTAATTATAAATTTGCTAAATTCAATAAGAGTATTTCCCCCTTGTGCTCCTTTTGTCATCAGTTTGATGAAACGATTATTCATTTGTTTTGGGAATGTATGTATTGCAAAATCTTTTGGATTGATTTTTCAAATTTTATTAAAAGGTATCTTTCTTTAAACTTCTGTGTAAACCAAAAAATTATGTTTTTTGGTGACTCTATGAAAGTAGACCCCTTTCATTCTAAATTTGTCCTTAATTTGCTACTTTTTCTTGCCAAATTTTATATTCACAAATGTAAATTTTCAAAGAAAACTCCTTTTTTTATTTTTAAGAAAGATATTGATTTGTATTTAAATTCATTGAAGGACTCAAAAAATTCTACTGCATGTAAGACTCTGCATTATTGTCGATCATTTAAGCTTGTTTAATGTTGTTTTAGTTTATGGAATGTAACCCTCTTTTTTTTTCTTTTTTTTTTTTTATTGTATTGTATATTAATGTCTTGATTTGTCTGCATAATAAAAAAAAAATTAAAAAAAAAAAAAAAAAGTCAGTTCATATCACATAATGTTCAGTTCCTTTTGTAATAAAAACCTGATTAATTTTCAACAAGTGACTAATGGATAAATACAGTGAAATTTGTTTAAAAGTATGTTGGTGAAACATGAGGACTAACATTTAATGATTGGACAGAAATAATCCTGAAATGGCCTGAGCTGTGTTTCCCAAAAGCATTGTGAGGCCAAGTTCATTGTGAAGACCATTGCTATATCAACTAGCTTGAGATGCTTTTGGGAAACGCAGAACAGGACATTGATTTAGTTAAAACTATTAAAAACATTTTCCTTCACTGAAATAAAGCTGCATAGTTAGATGAAAACTTATAGATAAATATATACTTATAAATAACTGAAAGTTGGAGAAACTAAAATAAGAAATGTAAAAAAGCAAAAATACAAAAAATAAATGCATAAATAAATATACAAAGAAATGTAAAAAAGTACAAATAAATGAGTATTTATACTTTTATTTCCATATTTATGTATAATTGTATTTTTTTCACAGATTTATTTATTTATTTATACATTTATTCATTTATTTATTTCCACTTTTTTATTTCCACATTCATTTATGTATTTATGTTTTTATGTCTACATTTATTTATTTTCACATTTATTTATTTATACATTTATTTATTTCCACAAATAATTATTTCCACATTTATTTATTCCAACATTTCTTTCTCCGTATGCTAATGAGAGCATCAGCAATCGAGCTCAAAGTGGCAGTGCTGAAGCTTTGTGGCCACAGTGACACCTTGTGGTGTGTGTCCAAACGAAACGCAAGAGGCGTGGGGACAATATCACATTTTAAGTCATGTGTATCACCCTAACTGTAGAAAAGTGTGCACTTTGCTCACGCAATCATCATGGTCATCTTGTGTTTTCTCCTAAATACAAGCTCAAGGGTTTATTTCTTGCAAGTGAAGAAATAAGGACAAAAGTATTTTAATGTTCCTATATTATAGTGTAATGTAGACTAAAATATAGGCTACTTTTGAAATATTCATTTTCATTTATATAATACATTTATAAGCTTTATGGATTTTACGTCATAGGAATAATTACATAAATCATTATTACATTATTATAATAACTGTTTGGGATCCTAAAACACCATTGATAATGTAATGTAGACTGAGACTCAACTAAAAAGATGTTTGAGCCCTGTTTATTGTCCTGGTACAAATCAATGCGTTTTCTTTGTTCAACGAACAGTTCATGGGTTGAAGCTAGCTGTTAATTTTGATCTCTCAAAGAGCACGAGATTGATGCATTTAACCTTAAAATGTACAAAATTTTCTTGCGGGGGAGCATGCCCCCGAACCCCCCTAGAGGAACAGTAAATCAGTAAAACTGTAAATGCTATATTAAAGGTCTATCCAACAAATTCCTATAGGAAAGACAACATTGTCAAAGCGATTCCGTTCACATACGTAGATCCATGAAAAAGATTGAAAGCACTGTTATACAAGCATGGCCGGTATATATGGTGATGTCACCCCAAAACAAAAAAACGCACACCAATAGACTGAACATTATCATAAAATCGTGTTTTTGTAGTTTTTATGGAGAAGATAACAATATCATTTTCAAAAGCATGCACTTTGAAACTCATTTTCAGGCCCATGAACACAGTTGTCATGTAAATAAAAAAGTTTAGCTGAAATGGTGTCACATAAAGGGCCTTAAATTTCCATTTTTGACGTCAGAACACAGAAGACTAATTTGCTTGCAGATTTTTCTATGGGGTTTTATAATGGGTAATTCATGAGTAAAATAAGGTCTGTTGTAAATGTAACTTTTAAGTAACTAGATAAGAACTCAAAGAAACCAGCAGTAAATCTATCATCTGGTTTCTGACCTGCAATCCCCTTTTGCATTGATTATATATAAAAGAACCACCAGATTTTAAATGATTCTGGGTCATTGAGTTTATTCAAACAGAATCAAGTTAGCAACACATTTACAAATCATGAAGAATGGGACACGTCACACAATAACAGGTGGTCACGTGACATTTTAACAGGGTTCCGTAAATGTCTATATCCCCAGGACAATCCGGCTGGAAGATGGTACATGGTGGCCGAAGACACTGCAGAAGCCGGTGGACCATCCAACAGGGTCTCATCAGGAAATGGGATGATGGCAGAATGAAGGCTCCACTAGCTGCATCAAAGCATGATTATTCTTCCTTCACTTCATAATTGTGTTTGATGTCTTTCCAGAGTTTCTACAAAACACACACACACACACACACACACAATTAGATCACACATGTTGAGCAGAACACATTACAGATAACGTTACAGAATTTATACAGACACTCCAGATGTAACGTTAGCATCACAATGTTGTATTATGCCCTTGAATGGTTTAATAATATTTGATCATTATTAAAACAAAATTATATTATTACCAAACTAAAATGTATTTTTTAGGCTAAAGTTAAAGTCTATATTTTCATCCCACTGAATATTTAGTTGCAGTTAGCCAGCGCGCTAATCAAGGTCAGTCTGCCGGTGGGTCATGAAGATATCAACTAAATAAAATGGAAAAATAACTTACCCCCCGATTTATGCTTTCAAATACCGCATCTCCAGCCTGATCAAACACCCTCTCGAAGACAACAGCTCCAACCATAATGGTTATAGCGAAAGTTGACGTTCTCCTGAAGAGCAAATTGTAGACACTTCTTACGAGCGCCATGATGGTCAATGGAGTCTTCCGGAAGA